CGGAGCCTCGATATTCCAGGTAAGAATTTTTCTGATCTTTTTCTGACGCTAGGAAACATTTGCTAGCTCGAGATGACCGATTTGTAATTTTTCCCCCCCAAAAAAAGGGGAGGATTTTTGATAGTGATAAATATTGTTCGTAGCTTTTCGACTTTGTTTCATGCATGTTTACCTGCATTTGTATCGACATGGGAGGAATTTTTTATCAGGGTTCGAGTTACATAAAAATTCAATTTTCGAAAGTTGATAATGGATCATTTCGATGTGGCTGGTCGGTCTATAGTTAACACGTTCCGTGCCACTGGTGGTGTACAATAGTTTCCGGAAGAGGAATTTCCATTGAATGATAAAATTACATTGATATACGAATTTAACAGAATTAACACCCTTTTATAAGTAAATATTTTAACGTGATTTTTCAACTTCGTTTGAATGTTCTGCCAAAACGCGGAACGTGTTAATCCCATGTGACGTGGATTGTGGTACAGATGCATTTGCAGTATGGTTTAATTTTCACAATGTTTTTTATTCCACCTTTCACAAATATCTCCACTGAAGGCAAAGTCTCGATAAGAATCCATAGAACTTGTTTACAATTTTTCTATTTTAAACAATAATTCAATACTGTGTAATATTCACAATAAAGCAAAAAGAAGAACAAAAAGACAATCACTATTCCAGCTACCCTATACTAAATATTATCGAAGCGCAAAATTTCTTTTCACTTATTTTCTTACAATTTTTTCATAAAATAGAACTTATAAAATCTCTAACTGATCCTACTGAAATTTCGAAATAAAAGATACAAATTTAAAAGTTGTCAAACTAAAAAAAAGAAATAAAACGTACAAAGCAAAACTTGCATTGAAATTCAAGAAGAAAACCACGAATCACAGTGTCAAACCTTGACTGGGATTCCACTGGTGGCCGGTGTCCTCACGAACGACGTGTCTTGTTCCTGTTTTCAGTCGAAGGAATCGTCGTCGGTGCTGAGCTGCGACATATCCGCGGACGACAGGTACATCGTTACCGGTTCAGGTGACAAGAAGGCGACCGTCTACGAGGTCATGTACTGAACATAGATACCGCAACGACGACACCACACCACAGACCGAACGAACTCATCCCGTACCCGAGAGAACTCTTCTCAGCGTGGGTGTACATAGTTCTTATACGATATTACGAGAGACGTTTGTTGCCGTTGTTCTTGTTATTGTTGTTGTTGTTACTCTTGGTGAAAAGAAAAGGGTCCGTGCAAGAAAGAGAGGAGAGAAAAGGAAGGAAGCAAGCATGAAAACGAGCCGAGCGAACCGGAGTAAAGAAGACGAAGAAAGAACCGTGTTGTGTGCAATCGTATGTTAAATTATGAATTAAATTATATGCTCGAAGTAATTTCTACTGAGAAAACCAAATCGAGCTCTAGCGTGATTTTAAAGGAAAGGAACAGTTTCGTGACATCGACGACGAAGGAAGTGGTAACTCCTTCGAATCCGATTCGATGAATTTTTATCGCATTCGACAGAGACTGCGAAGAAAAAACAAAAAACGAGAGAAGTTTCTCTCGGTCCCGACAGGCTCGAAACTCTTGCAGACACAAAACAGTTCGTTCCGCTCGTTTTTCCCGCGCGTCGCCGCCATTTTGGCCCGATACTCCGCGGGGTTAATTAGAAAACAGAAACGCTGGCATTCGTAATTCGCGTTTTCTCTGTACATTTTGTATATACGTATACATATTATATATATATATATACACACACACACCGTCAGTCTTAAGTAAGGTTATACCATGATATTTTTCTACGTCCCCTAAAAGTGAGACGGAAAGCGACGAGTAAAGTAGAAGCAGAAACAGACAGGATACAAGGAAAAAACGAATAAAAAAGAAAAACAAACAAAAACACAGAAACACACTGAAAGAAAATTTGTAAATATTATATCTGGCTTAGAGAATATAAACAGAATCGAGACGAGAGTCGATTAAATAAAAAGTGATACTCGATAACTAAACTACGGTGATTCATTCTATCCCTATGTAGCCACTCTTCTTTGAACTCCCCTTATCGTCGGAAGAAAAAAAGAGAAAAAGAAATTTGTAGGAATGAAGCTTCGATATCAGGCGTGTGCTGCGTGTGTGTGTGAGAAGAACGAGGGAGCGGGAGACAAAAAAAAAAAATAATCTCGTGCATGGCGGCGCGAGAGGTTATCGCGCCCCTGGAAGGTAGGTATGAAGCAAAAATCGCGGGCAAATATTATCTCGCCACGGTTGTAATATAAAAACCGATGAACGCGCTCGGCGCGACCACTTCGCGCCGCAAACATTCGAAAGCTGTTTGACGCGGATGAGGCGGGGGGGGGGGGGG